GATCGGCCTGTATGGTGGAAACCTGAGCGGTACGATCGGTAGCCTTGAGTATCCAGTGGCAGAGTACCAAGAGGCTACGGCCGAGGATGAAATAGAGGATGGGGTGGAGGAGCAGACGGATGAGTGGCTGGGTGAGGACGCGGAAGATGCCATTGAGAGCTGAAAAAAAATGCCCCAAAAAAAGCCAAAAACAGATGCCCTTTTTTGGGCCAATATTTTTCGACTTTGATTCCCGAACAGCGACACGAAGAGGCTGCACAGAAGGCGCCGTTCTGAGTGCAAGCTGACATATTGTTTGATATTTCGCAATTGAGATGGCTGTATCATCCTGTTCAATCAATATATGGATTACTTGTGCAAGCCCTGGGGCCGCATCGTTGGAACACCGCGCTTCAACATTTTTGGAACTTCGCCGGGTGCGATCACACACTAATTTCGTAATATTACTCGAAGACATGGTGATTTTTTTTTTTTTAGAAAGAGCTCTGTGCTTTGTCGTCAGTTTGCGCTATAGTTTGTGATAGGGGACTCCGTATTGACGAAGTTACACAATATTCCAATTTGGTCTCGACTACTATGTTCCACCATAATACACCGTAGTGCATACCTCATGGCATGGAGGATGCGTCGTAGCAGCTCTGCCCGACGAAGACCGACTCCCCCTGTGCCAACAAAGTCACCGTCGTATCCCTGGTGCTCCCTTCGTGCTGGGCCTCTGCTGGGCCTCATTCCACTCCCCCCGACGGTAAAACACGGAGCGCCTCGTGGACCCGAAGAGTTGCCGAAGCCCCCGAGATTCAAGCGCTCATCTCGCCGCGCAGCATGAAAAAAACGCCGCTGGAGAATACGGTGCTCTGCCCGCTCGGCAGCTTCGTCGTTCTCATCTCGCGATGCTGGGGCTTGAAGGTTCACGAACGGTTGCTCGTCGGCCACCATGGGCCCTTGTGGCGGGATTGGCTCAAGGCCGTCGTCTGGGTGCCTAGGGTGGAACACCTCGGGTTGAGGCGATCTCGCACGTTCGAAGGGGATCTCGCGCTCTAGGTCGAGGTGCTTACTCGCTTCTTCGTCGAGGGCGCTGACACCTACTGCTTCGATGTGGGATGGTCGACGGACAAGAGGACTATTGCCGGCTTGTGGTGATACCTCGGACAACCCCTCCCGTGACTCGAGGTGGTTGACCCCGCCTTGTTGCTTTTTCATCATATGCTGGAAGCAGCGCCTAAGTCTAGCGTTGCGAAACATGTCTTCCACCACTTTGGCACGCTGTGAAACGATCGCGTCCGTGCTTGTACTGACATCACGTGCTGTGCGCGTTGCCCCATGCCAGGGCCGCGGGAGATCCAGCGTATTTGCTACTTCTGGTGCCGAAGACTGCTGCAGAAGGGCGTGCTCGCGTTGAAGGCAGTGCTCAAGTAGAACACGCTGTTGTCATCGTGCATGGCGGTGGAAGGGCAAGGAATGTACTGGGTTGGCCGGCATGGTCTACGAGCACGAGCAACGGAACATCGAAAATTTGGCTACCGTAGATCCATATGGTGCAGTAGCCGTTCTTCGACGAAGCTTTCTGTCGCTGCCACCCCCCAACAGCAGTAGTTCTCATTTCAAGTTGTATGTGACGCAGCCCAAGATCGCAAACCTTCCATGAATTTACGCTGGCATGTTGATTGCTACTGATGCTTTGTGCATACCCTACCTTTGGGGCGGAGCGACGGGCCAATGGAAGGTCCTCTTGGAGCTGCGACAGAGCCTCGACCAGCGACATGAAACTCGTCTGCCGATGTCAAGACCTGTGTATGAATTTATGCTACCTGCAAATCCCTCTTGAGTTGGGAAGACGAATGAATCAGGATCAGCAAGACTTGTCTATATAGTAATCATTGCAGTTCAGCAGCCCGTTGGGAAAGATCCCTCTCTACCGAGAGGTACGCAAGTGGGCACGAAAAGAAGCGGCGGGTTTTAACGTGCGGTTCGGATTGACGTGAAACGGTTCGTGTCCATCTGGGCTGACACGACCATAATTTCGCCGCATAATGCACATGTGCTGGATCGCGGTGAACACACCCAACGTGCAGCGAGCGCAGCGTCAGAGCGGTATAAATAGGTGGCTTCGAACGTGGGTGGTTTCGGAACCGACGGGGAGGGGAAGAGCGGGGCCGCACGCCGAGTAAAACTACAGCGAAACGGCATCCCGCTCCTCCTTTTTTTTTTATTCAAGTCACGCCCGCGCCAGGCGCGTTCATACCTTCAATGGCTGCAAGTCTGTCTAGCTTGGGACCACCTCACGCCGGTCCCGGGAGTACAGCTCCGAATATTGGCTTTACCGTCGCGGCGACCCACAACCGGAGAGGAGTAATCAACAAGGAACCTCTGTCTGGCAACACGCTGTGTCACAAGGTTCGTGAACATTATTATTGTTCGATCTTTTGCTGCAATGAGCTCACTTCTGTTTTTTACCAGTAGACTGCGCATGCTTGGTCCTGCTGCAAAGCTGCTGAAGTCTACATATGTACATGTAGACGCCCCCAGGCTGATTGGTGTCCATAAAATAGTGGGAATATGTTGTATTGGGCGATGTCCAGGTCATAGGAGTGTATTGCAAAGCACGTGTACCATAGAAATAGCAATACAAAAAGGAGCACATGCGGTGATGACTTAGCATGTGGTAAGGATTAGTCCTATTGAAAGCTCTGCCTACAACCCTTTTGCGTTGGCACTTGACCAGCTGATAACCCCCTTCCAGTGTGGCTTTTTCATGAGAAAGGTTCCGACTTAGAATAAGTTGCGGTACCATCCGAAATAATGGCTAGGTTCCGGTTTCCGTTGAGCCGACCGTCGAGTCTATCCCTGTGTCGTCGTGGACTTACATAGCTTCAGCCTTTCGACCACAGACAAGACGACCGTAGGGCGGGCAGGTTGGCGGCGATGATATCAAAAGGGGATCTAAACACGCGGGGCGAATGTCGCATTCCGCGGATGTTCAACCACGTGTATTTTATGCGATTTTTTCTTTCATCAGCCCTTCGTTCTCGTTGTGCAACCAACCAGAACAATGTCGAGAGGAAGCAGGCCATTCACGAGAACCGATTGGCGTCTGTCAAGGCATCCCTGTCCTTAAGCACTCCGCGACGAATGGAGTTCATGGACAAGCGACTGTCAAAGAACTTCCACGCGCGTCGGCATCACGAACTAGTTGTCCTTCAGAATCGCAAGATCCTCAGAGCCCTCGAAGAAATCCACTCCCGCAGCAGTACCGTTGCTGCCGTGGGGGCAACTAACCCTGCTGAGGGAGGAAGTATGGTGGTGCCTGCAAGCAGCGATGGAGAAAGACTGGGAAGCTCTTCCGCGCCCGCGAGCTGGAAGAAAAGCAAGGGCTTGCCCTCGGCGTCGGCTACCAATGCCGGCGAATCCTCTTGCTCCTCGAAAAAGCTCAACTCATTGCTTGCGAGAAGGCGGAACGTTAAGGCAGCCTTGGTCGCACGAGAGAACCAGAAGATGATGGAAGTGAGTGGCTCCACATGTGCGGGCGCACAGACTACTTGGCCATTTAGTTTGCCTTGGGTTTGAATTTTTTCATAGTCGTCCCAACACTCAAAATCAAGACTTGTATCAGGAATTATCTCATGTAGAAAACCAGCCGTGCCGGACATCGGTAGCGTGCTGTGCTCTTCCTCTGGACTCTTGTGCCTCCGCGTTCACCTCCAAAAGGGTTCCCAACCAAGTATCGCCCCTAGATTCTAATGGGTCATTTAATAGTCTTTGTGTTCAGCCGTGTCCGTCGGCGAATTGGACAGATCTGTCAACGTTTCCACACGAGTACCCCGTGCACCCTCCCCCACTCAAAACGCTGCAGCGCATAACAAGGTCCAAGTCCCTCTACTCGAAGGAAAATATGCGTCAGCACAGGGTTTGCCACAAGCGGATCCTTCGCCTTAGAAAGACGGACTACACCGCCGGGCACCTTCTGGCTGCAGCGACGGCAAGTCGCCACTGGAGAGGCGGCGACTCCCGCGATGAGGAAGGCCGGCATCGGCACCGCCGTCGCAACCGCCACAGCCAGAGAAACCGCCGCGTGTCAGGCGGAAGCAAGGAGTACGTCAACGCTACAAGCACACCACCGCCCGTTGCCAGAGGCACGTCCTACTCCCCGACGCGGGGTGAACACAGCCGCTCTGTCCACAGGGTTGACGGGGGTGGACTCGGTGGTCGTGGGACCAAGAGCGCCCCTCGCCTCCCCTCTCTCTTGGATGTCGAAGACATCTACGGCGGTGGTAGCATCCTGGGCTCGCCTAACCTGGAGCAGTGCCTCCAGGCCGCGGAGATGTCAGCGCGTAGCGGCGGTGGCGGCGGCGGGGTGGAGGAGGGGAGTGCGGTCGGTGGGAGTGGGTCCCGCTCTTCTTCGCGAAACAGCACCGCAGTTTCCGGAAACCACGAGGACGATGGATGCAGGCCCAGACCGTTCACGGACGGAGGCGTCGGAAGCAGGGGAGGGTCTCGCCACCACCGCAAGACTTCTCGACAGCGCGGTGGTAAAGACACCGCCGGTGTCGGCGGCAGCAGTACCGGTGGCAGGCGAGGGACAGATGCCAGCTTAGATGCTCTCTCTCACCACAGGGAGAGCCTTGAGAGCTCCGTCGAAGATTCTTCCGGCGGAATAAGGCGGGGGCGCTATGGTAACCAGAGGGGTCGAGGGGGCGGAGGAAGCAGTGGCGATAAGAGTTCGGGTTCTTTGGCAAGCAGCGGGAAGTCGGCAGACGATGCCGAGCTGGACAAGATTTACAACCCTCTGGCGTTTCTCGACGAGACGCAGGGCGTTCGAGTGCTTATTCAGGCTACCAAGCCGCTAGAGGTACGTCGGGAGAAGGAGTGGACAACTCGGGCAGCTTGCAGCCATGATGATCAAGCTAGGTAGACGGTGCTTTGTTGGCCGATTGGGACAGGGCGCTGAAAGGTTGGTGGCTTGTTGTCTACAGGCTGAGGCAGCTCAACCATTTGTCCCGAGGTTCGTTCGTGACTGATGATCGAAAGGATGTGTTCCTCCCTCCCCCTTGGCTTCCTCCGAAGGTGTCTAGTCGTGCGGGGGAAACATGGATTTGCTTCATCCGGATCATGGTTCAGGACCCCTTTGACAACCAGTTGGACGTCAGAATCATCCACGACAGAGAGGAGGTTTGTACTCAGAGTACCCGCAAGACAAGTTGACCTTTTTTTGCGAACAACTCCATGCTGATCGGATAGTTGTGGGTGGGAAACAGTTTCGGTGTACTATCCGGGATGCCCCCGAGAAAAAAATTTCAAGACGTTCCTCGCTCAACCTTTCGCCAGGATCGTGCACTGCTTTGTTCGGACACAAGAAATCTCGGAATCGAGGCAGTCGTTTGAGCATGAGGCATCGCCCCTGCCAAGGGCGATTGGACGTGATTATTTCCACCACCTTCATCCGTCAAAATGTTACCTGGTACCAATTTATCACACGCGCTTCGCTCGGATCTCTCCGCTTTGAATCCTTTCTCAATCTTGGAAAAAAACAACTCTTCACGTCAACCAACAACCAACACGACGCACCGAGAGACTGTTAGCCAAAATACCACCTCCTCTGCCACCCGCTACTGTTGATTTTCATGAAAACCCAGATCTGCCAACGGCTGCTGTCCCTGGAGGAGGCCACCGTCATCTGCGAACACGCGAAAGCGACTTCTTCCGGTGGCGGCGGCATGGCACCCGGCGACCGCCCGTCCTTGTTCGCGCCGCGGGCGGCGGCGGCCGCGCCGAAGCGGTCGTTGCCCCTGCCCGGGAGCGCTGCCTCCGGTGCCGCTGCCGCCGTGCCGCCGTCCCCGACAATGGCGGCAAACCCTGGTGGTGGTGGTGGTGGTGGTGATACTGCTTCGGACGTTCAGCGAGCGGAGGGCGTCGCGGAGGACGGCGGCGGCGGCGGCGAATCCGGTGGTGGTCGCCAGACGCGGCCCTTTGCGGGGCTGAAACAGTACTCGGCCAGCGACGAAAACCTGAGCGAGCTGCTGTCGGCTCTGTTCAAGCAGGCGGACGTGGAGGAGAAGGTATGTATTATTATAGTACAACACGCGCCAACCGAGTTTTTGTTTCTTCGACAAGCCGAGCCGGGAAGCGTTTTCTCTCCTATGTAGATTACATGTTTGTTTTCCGACGCGGACGGCTGCACGCGAGGGGTTCCTGGTCTCTGTTCCCCGCTACAACCGCGAACACCTTGCTTCGTGGACATTGGTTTGTGTTCACATGGCAGGCAGAGAGGGGGGGGGTGTTAAACTTTTTTTATCACCGACTCACGCTACTGGTTGGCATCTTCAAACTCGCAAAACATCCGTGTTGCGTTGCCCGGTACACAGGGATTCCTGACCCCTGAACAGCTGACGTCGATCATGCAAAACGCTGAGTTGGGCTTGACGGGGCCGGAGCTACACCTGGTCATCGCGGAAGCCGACGAGAATGCTGACGGCACAATCGATGTAAGGAGGCGTCGATGCTCTCGTCTCGTCTGTGTCTCTCCCCATGGTCCCCATCTCCTGGAGCAAAGTTTTTCTCAGTGATTGCTCCTTGTTTCGTCATTTTTTCGAACAAGCGACGCAAGAGATGGCACGCTTTACCTCTTGAAGGTGTCGAACTTGTCGCACCTTGTGCAGCAACAGTCCGGTGAGACATTCGTCAGTGGGTGCCTGTATGCGTCGGCCTTGAAAAAGTGTGCGTCGAAAAACGTACGGCGGCACGCACGCACTTCTCCGCTCGGGCGCTTAGCACAGATCAATCACCGCAACACAAGCACGCACATGACGGCACTATCGTTCACCCCTCCCTCGATGCCTGCTCCCCCCCCGCGCTCGATGCCCGTAACCGCCGGCGCACCAGTACTACGAATTCATCCCGCTGGCCTACAACCTGGTGGATGCCTTCCGTGCAAGGCATCGTGCTTGCGAGGAGATGGACGAAGCGAACCTTGACCTGGACCAGCAGGTACATTTCAGTCGGTCCGATCTACCCTCTCGGTCCCCGCTCCCGTCGCAACAAACAACAGCAGTCCCCCTTCGTCAAAAACGGGTGGCGTTCTAGAGCTTGCACCCCTGCAACTCTCCCAAGTGCTATTCGGCGCTTACCTTTTTGTAGCTGTCGGCTTACAACGGTGACAGTCTCCCGAAGGGAAATTCTCGTCGAGTCGGGTACCTCAAGCCCCTACCTCTTGTGCTAGATCTCCCTCCCCTCCCCGCTCTCCGTCCTATCGAGGACGTGTGGTCAATGGTCCAACCACTAAGGCATACAAAACATAAGAGTACGCTCCGCTGCTCGCACCCCACGCATGGCATATTGGCTTCACGACGCGATGACCGCACCACCATACACCTGGTCCACTTTTCCTTCCCCCGCAAGGCAATACACGCGCTCTACGACGCCGAGTTCGACCGTCTGGTGCGGCAGCTGAAGGCCCTTTGCAAGAGCCAAGACGCCAACGGCACTGGCGTCCTCCCTCGAGCGGAGTTCAAGCAGTGCATCTCCGCCGACCGCTGCGGCGGCCTGACCAAGATCGAGTCCAAGCTGCTGCTCAACCTCCTGCCCAAGGACTCCCACGGGAACGTCGTCTACCGGAAGCTCGGGGCCGGTCTGGAGCAGGTACAGAGACGCGCCACCCCCACTTTCTAGAAGCCTGTTTCTTGTTTTGGGACAACGCTCGCGGCTGGTGTCGTCTAGGACGAAACGAACAGAGGACAAACAGCTTGTAGTGTGGGCTGGGTCTAAGTTCTTGTGCAAGGCTTGTTCTTGCTACCTTGTACTTATTCAGATCGGATGGGGGGTGGTACTCATACGAAAGTCCTAAAAGTTTCACTTGCCATGTTCTTGAGTGGTGGCGCGGTTGGCTTCTCTTCGTTTGTTTCTTGTGCTCGTCAACGGTTGATTTACCAGATAGTGTCGTTCCTACGATGTAGCATCCAGAGGTCAAAACTCTCGTTCAGGCACGCTCAATCCCACGCGGCTTTACTCCACTCGCATCTTTCGCGTTTGTCAGGTAGGAGGTCTTCCCTGCGAATCAGCGCACAGAAGTTCACAAAACCCCTTAAGGCACGCGCAACCCCGCCTGGCTTCACTCCGCTCGAGACTTCTATATTTTTAATGCCTGAACGGGGGCCCACACAGCCGTCTTGTTCGGCACTTGTACTTGTGTTCGCCCAGACGCATATCGTATTGAACTAATCAAACATTGGCTCCTCCCGACGCTTGAAACACCTGAAGAAGGGCTACAGTGGCGGATCCCGGTTGAGCGCCCCTTAGTGCCAGGAGGGAATATGGTCGCTTCCCAGGACGGGTCGTACCACGCGATGTTGCGGCCGCTGTACAGGGCATGTTGCTAAACAGGCGGTCGCTGAACCGGATCCAAGGTATCCCTCCACCCCCTTAACGTTTCGTGCTTTGTGTGTGTTCCTTGCTCATCACAGGTCCGGTTTACCACTCTCCGCAACACGGTTGCGGAGGCCTCGGCGTCAGACACCCAGAAGTACCTCATGGCCCTGTGCAGGGAGGAGGAAGCCAAGAGCGACCCGCTGGGGAACAAGGGGCACATGAAGAGCAACGGGGACGCCGTGGCAATCGGCGGCAAGCACTACTCCGGGTAAGCCGTGGCGGTCGGAAAAGGGTAGAGGGATCCGACCAATCGGGTGGAAAACGCTCTTCTCCCGGTGAGCCGTGGCGTTCGGAAAGGGATAAAGGCAGGGTATGAAGGATCTGGCGCGGCGCGCGGTGTTGTAGCAGCTGCCGATCGGTCTCAGGGCCCCCTGAGAACGTGGCAGTTTGATATCCTCCACTCGACGTTGGTTTGCTCGCTTGTTTCCCGGCATTCGGCTCATCTCCTGGTGGTCGAAGACATCTTCTGAACAAAACTATTCTGCCCCCCTGTGCTTCGATTGCCGTTCTACGCCAACTAACCGTGCGATAATGGCGATGGGCGTAATGACGGCGGTGGCGGCGACGGCGGCGGAGGTGGCAGGGTGCTGCGGGCACGCCAGCTGACGAAGCTACTTCTCAATGCGCCCTTGCTCAGCCTGAGCCGGCTGCACGTGACGGCGTTGATGAGCCAGGCTAACATCTTGGACGGCATGGTCAACTACGTTGAATTGGTACGTGTGTGGTGGTACGTTGTACGAATCGAATGGAACAACTCCAGGCTCTCGCCGTTCCGGCCAGACACGGACGTTGTAGTGTACTCGATGACGTGTGTTGTTTTGTCGATTCCGATCTCTGCGAAAGTACAAGCATTGGATGTAGAGCGTGGCAGAGAGGGTGACCACCACGAGAGGGCAGCAACGAGGCGAAAGGGAATGCAACACGCGTGGAAGATAGGAAGAACCAAGGAGAGGGAGAGAGGGAGCGAGCGAGCGAGCGAGAGAGAGAGAGAGAGAGAGAGAGAGAGAGAGAGAGAGAGAGATGGGGAGGGAGGGAGGGAGGGCGACAACTACACCACAGTCTACATGGTTCCCTTTAAGCTTTCACGATGTACGAAATAGTTGCGTCCGTGTCACCTCTGGCGAGACGCAAAGCTGCCTGTCGTCTGCGGTTAGGTGTAGCTATCGTGCGGCAGCATGAATTCTCTTCCCGGTACACACGACGTGGTCTGGACCTTCTCGACAAACAACCGATGCTACTACAGGTGCCCATGATAGCAAAGACGATCGAAGGGATGTTCCACCCGTGGTCTATCAAGATGAGGCACGAGATTTTCAACAACAACCGCGGGCCTGGAGGAGGCGGGGGCGTTGGGGGGGGGATGGGAGAGGGAGGTTCGCAGCAGCAGCAGCAAGGGGCGGGAACTGCGACGGTGCGGGGGAAAAGCCGCGACGACATTCAGAGAAAAATCGTCGAAATTTTGCGAGAGGTAGGTCGATAAGCCTTAGCAAAGTGCAAGAGAGCGGGAGAGCGGGAGAGAGAGAGCGAAAGAGAGAGAGAGAGGGAGAGCGGGAGAGAGGGAGAGGGAGAGGGAGAGAGAGAGAGACAGAGAGACAGAGACAGAGAGAGAAAGAGAGAGACAGAGACAGAGACAGAGTCAGAGACAGAGAGAGAGAGAGCGAGAGAGAGAGAGAGAGAGAGAGAGAGAGAGAGAGGGCAGCGAACACCTGGAATGCGTGAAGGGGCACGAACCGGAACGTTTTACACAGCGTGCGGCGCACAGACCTTCACCCTCCTAATGAAGTAGTCTGACAACGGCCGGCCGGCCGAGGCGACAAAACATGGGCATTGGGCGCGTCCTAAGAATTGCCCTGGGCTGTACAAGTAGTCTTCGGGTCGCACCAACGGGTCAATATTATCCACTTAGTCTGGCATCGCACGCACGGTGCGGGTGTTGTGCTACGACGGCATATACAGGACAAACAAGGAACTGTTACCGAGCGGCTCAGGAACCCCGCGACATTCGCCAGATGCATGGCGTCCCTCGGCCTCGACCTCGAGGTATGGCGAACCCGAAGACAGATGGTAGTGTCGGAGTCGACTCTCAGCATTTCAGGCACTGGAATCTGCCCGGAATACCCACGAATTTGACGGGGCACCGTGTTTGACAGGGGTGTGATCACAGAGAGGAACCAACGCGTCGGCAAAGATGAAATTGGCCAATGAGTATCATGCACAAGAAGCCGACTCCTTCACAGCAGCGCAGAAGAAGTTTCAAAAAAGTCAGAATTGGTTTTCAGGACACGAATCTTGTCGAGGGTTTGATTTGTCCCTGGCTTCCACCTCTCTATGCCACAGCACGCAAACAAGACGGAACAAAGAATGATGTCGAGGGGAGCGAGCGAGAGAGCGTTGGCACGTGAAGCTATTGTAGGCCCTTTCAAACACGAGAGCTATGTAGCACACTATATCCAAAGTTGTCTCAAGCGTGTCCAAGAAACAAACGTGGGACTGCGCTCCATTCGGTGAGGTCAAACCTTAGAGGCGATTCTGATTTGAAGAGTCTATGCAGGCGCGTATCACTTGATAACGTCTCGACGTCGCAATTCCTGGCAATTCTGCATGCAACCCAGCCGGACACGATCAACGCTCTATGGGTGGCGGCCGACCTCGACACCCGCGTGGGCACCACGTTCGTCGACGTGGTAGACTTCTGCTTCAACTGCGTCCTCTTCATGGAGCGGGAAAAGGAGGCAAGGGTCGCATTTTTCGTCATGGTGCCGCCCTTTTGATACTCTAGGGCGGCCTCGGCAATGGTAGTAGGATGGGGTCGACACAAGCGCCGTGCCCCTGGTACGCTTTGTGGCCCATTGTATCTGGTATTTCGGAAGCAGATCGATGGTGACTGCTCTTTCCCTTCGCGAGCAAAAACCCAGGTTATCCGTCTCCCCCTACCCCGCTTGAGAGAGGCCGCTCTCTTGTAGGCCTCTGGCGCTTTCTGGTTGCTGTGACGGTCCACAAGTGTTGTCAGATGGCAGTCGTCATGATCGGGCACAGCGTGTCATTCTGAAAAAATGATAAACCTTTCTTCGGGTGGAAAATTGGTTCATAGGTGAAAATCCTGCAAAGGGCGCGCAGTACCGGCACCAGCGCGTCCCACAGCGGTGTGCCGGGCAGGGCGGAGCCCGGGGCAGCGGCGGTGGCGAGGGCGGAGGCAGTGGCAGCCACGGCCTTGGCGGCGGGAGAACCTTCAGCCGGGAAGGTTGACCCACTGTTGAGCTTGGCGCGGTCTCTTGTGAGGCACGCAAAGGTGATCATGTACTCTCACGCAATGCCGAGTCTATACGGCCGATAGATGGTGTGGTGCTCTCATTTTGGATTCATTTCTTGCTGCTTTTAAGGAAGGAAGAACCTACAAAGCCGTTGTGGTTTCAGTTGTCGAAATCGTCCAGCATAACGTGGACCCTAGCTGCTTGATATTTCCGTCGAAACACCACGACATCCCCGCGATCACGACCTCCGCCTGGCACGACACGGAACACGAGCAACTACACTGAACGTTACGCCGGCTCCAGCTCTCCCTTACGAACACCGCCAACACAAATCATGGTCTTTGCCGACTGGTATCATTATCGTCTTTCGAACGACGAAAACACAGGTGACTACTACTTCAGAGGGAAAGGTGGGCCTGGAGTTCCCGCTCGACAAGCACGCGAGTAGTTCCGTTAACGGAAGCAGCGCCTCTGGCGAAGCCGAACGCTCGTCGGCGGATGGCCGATCCAAGGAAGGAAGGCACAAGCTCGACGATTGCGGAGGGTTTCCGTTTGGGGCGGACGCTGATGGGATGGCGTTTTCCGTGGGCTACGAGGGCGATCAGATGGAACACTTCGGCGATGGGTACAGTAGTAATAGCGACAACGGAAGAACAGGGGAAGATAAAAGAGATACCACCGGCCTAAACCTTCGGTCAGAGGCCCCCAAGGCGACGATCATTCTGCGAGCTCGACGAAAAGTCCCCGTCGTCGGCCCGTCAGGCCAACCGATCATGGTTGTTTCGTCGAACCCCTCCTCGTCATCCCCGACCAGCAACTCTGACGCTTCTTCCGCAGTCACCGCCGGAGAAGGCGGCCTCACATTATTAACACCTCCCGGAAAACACGATGATGCCAAGACGGCCACGAAGCGCGATTTGAATTGCAGCAGCGGCCTCGAGACGGCCGACGCTTCCCGGGGAGAGACGCGGGACATGGTTGTTCGGTTGTATTGGGATGGCGTCGCCAAAGACCGGGCGTACGTCGAGGCGTACCCCACAAGAAAGGACGGTGGAGGGGAGAGGGAGGAAGGAGGGGGTCAGCGTCTTGCGCTGCGCTTGGGCGTGAGGGTCCCAACGCTCGCGATTGTCGATTCCCACGCGGCGTCGAAATTTGCTGACCGTGTTGCGCGAGGCATTGTCATCCAGGTGGGCGACGAAAAGGGTGACAGCGGAGGAGGAAAGGAGCCTACGAGCGGCCGGGCTAAGCGGCACCAGCACCAGCAGCAACTCCAACAAGGAGAGAGGCTTCGGTTGGCCGGGGTAGATGCGAAGTCCGTGATCGTCGGAGGCTCCTCGGTTGTTGCATAAATGCGTCTAGTCTAGGTAGGGTATTTCTGTTGCTTCAACACGGAGAGGCGTTGTTGAGCCTGCAAGAAGTAGCGGTGGTAAACCTGGCCCGTTGTCTGTAAGATTTTACGGCTTGATGGCCGCGACGATTCTGTGAGAAGGGACACGGTTCGCAAAGAGCAAAGCGGTTCGGCGGAGTTTGTTGTACCGTGAACGCGAAGACACGAGTGTTGTACTCGACAAATTGCCATCGATGATGTTTGAAGATAGATAGCTGGTGCGGGTCAGATGCGAATACTAGATAACATCAATAACTATAGCATTCGTTCGACGAACCTACAAGTAGGAACCATTCACCGATGACGAGTATCTCACCCTTACACTGGACAGCTTCCAGAAATTGAGAAGCAAAGGCATGCATTGGTTTATTTACATATGCATGCGTGTGCGTGTTTGCTTACGAAACACCGGGTGGCCCGCCAATGGTGTTTGTAATCCGAGACACGAGTTTGTCGTCCATCGATGGGTCGTTTACAGCAGTATTTGGGCGTTTTAAGACCGATCCATGGAGCCCCATGAGGTTCCATGGAGGTTCATGAACCTTTCCACAACCTGGACCATGGGACGTTGTTGGCACACCATGTCATCCTATGGCGTGTAGAAATGTGTGTAGTGCCGAGGTGCCCTGTACCCAAGGGTCGTCTCCAGCCGGTTAATTGAGCGTAAAATATAGTACTGCCGGTCGCCGCGGTTGTCTATCTAGTTGGTGTCCTCGCGACCTTCTAGAGGTCAGGTCAGGGTTCGAATCCCGGCGTAAGCGAGCTTTTCTTGCAAAGTGAGTTTTTCTCTCGCTTCCGCTCCTGGCCTAGTGGTTCGTGTGTACACAGAGGGAAGGGAGTGCCGAACTCTTCTCGAATTACAAATCGAAGGCAAAGTACCGCAGGAGGGGAAGGCAAAGAGGGGCTCTTCTGTGTGACCACGGGTTGGAGTAAATAAACGGCCCCAGTGCTGTGAGCGCTGATTTGAAGTGAAGACAAAAAAAAAAATCTATGCAGTCCCAGACAGAAGTCTGGGTAATGTTCAGACCGAAGTTCGTTGTCGCAGAGATGAAGTCGATGTTGTTGAGTTGCTAAATGTCGCAGAGCTCGAAGTTGATATGGCGTTCCCCGTCGGTCGAGATGAATCCGGATTGGTTGTCCTATATCTCGTTGTGGATGTTCTGTCCAGGTCGTGTCAGTCTTGGTTGTTTTGAGCATTGATGTTTTTGTTTTTCTCCCATCATTGGACTCTGTCGTCTGCCCCTCTGGCCCCTATCCTCCACTTCTACTAGCTAGACGACCCAACCGGGGTCACATAGGAGGGGGGGGTTGGACCCCCTCCTGCGGTTCATGCCTGAGGTATTTTTATCGCGAGAAGGGTACAGCAATCCCTTCCCTCGCGACTTACGAAGTCGATTATGTATGGTTTACTAACAACAAACGAGCTTTGCAGCGCGTCGCTTTCATCCTAGACCAGGATTTATTTAGTGAGAAAAAAACTCTCTCTGCCGGGACTCGAACCCATGACCTGGCCCTTAGCAGGTTGCGAGGCTACCCACTAGATGTGTGCAGTTGTCGCACCACCACCAACCCTCTATACGTTGTCGGTGGTACATCTGAAACTAACAGCGGAACAAAGAAAGGCCGTCACGCGACACCGTAAGGGTACCCAGACAAGGGATGTTGACGCTGGCTCTTTTCTCATACTTTATGACAGTACAAAGAAAGAAAACAACCTTCCCGCCGGAGGAACCTGGTCCGTTGTGCTAGTATCAGTAGAGGATATCATCAAGAGGCGTCGTGCGTGCTGGCACGTTCAGGTATACTACTGGGGCTGAAATATCGAAGGTCGCAGCAGCCTCTGAAAACGGTCCGAAATCTGCGCCGGAACCAAGCGGAACCCAACACTTGTCACAGCGGTGCTCACCACCACGGACCGCAAACCCCTCAACTGCGGGTTGTCAGCAGTAGCTGGTGGCATCAGCTACTGCTGTAAACCTGCAGTTCAGAAGATTGGGTTCAGTGGCGGCGAGCACAAGCAGTACAAGACACTGGGTGTCGATCTAACTTGCGGAGATTTGCGGAGATTGTGGGCCACTACAACGACACTCGATACCACCACCACAGAAGAAGTTTTGAGCGCGCCAACACACCCCCCCGCTGCTATAGGGTGTCCTCTAGTGATATTGGTACAATGGACCAGGTTCCTAGCAACACCGGCCTTATTTGAGCGCCTTCCGTTTGGGCTCTTTTGACTTGAATTTAGACTGGTGTGGATTTTTATCTTGGTTTCAAAGGATGCGTGTGGAGGTAGACGCGCGAAAAGCACGTTTTGAGCGGTCTCTACTGCTGC